GAGCCTGGCAAGCCGCCCGTGATGTATTCAATATGCCAAACACAGTAACAACAAAGTCTCCATGACAAATGCAATTAAGTATTAAATACTATTGTGCTTAATTAGTTTGATTATGAAGGAGATGAGCTACCCAGAGAGAATTTAATACCAAATAAGTAAGAATTAGAACTTCAGGGTACTAAAAAAAAAAAAAAATGAGCTCTTTGCTCTGCCCTGTGCTAGCCTGGACAAGAATGGAGCTCCTGGATTCCGCCCTGTCCTGAAGGACTTTCTGTATCTGACCATTGCGTGCTGGATGAATAGGAAGTCCTCTCCCATGCCTCATTACAGCTGCTGCAGTAATGGAGCCCTAAGGGGGGACCCTGAAAACAAACCCCCCAAAATTGGGGAGAGGCAAACTGATGGCTAATTGGAGTTCTTAGAGGGAAAGTCTCCCAGCTCCCTCTTCCCTGCCTCCCTTCTCTGTCCTACACAGGTTCCCTTACCCTCGCCTCCAACACCTCTTCCTCCTGACAGTTCTGGGCAAGAAAAATGCAGATCCCAAGTACTTATTCTTTCTGAGACTTCAACTGAAATGAACAGAAAGCTAGTTAGGCAACGATAATGGTTTTGGCTACTGTCTGCCTTCTCGTAAACACAGCAGTGGGAACCAGGCTGCTGACTTCGGGGAAGTCTTTATCCAACCATTTATGTAAAGGTAAAGGTAAAGGCCCTCCCGTTGATCGTCGATTTGCTCGAGCGGGCCCAGTAACGTCTCCATTGGAGACTTTGTTGTTACTGTGTCTGGCATATCGAATACTCTCGGTAGCTTGCCGGGCTCTCCGAGAGGGGCGGAGGAATCGAACTCGGGTCGGCCATGTTGGCCGCGTGTAAGGCGAACGCCCTACCCGCTGTGCTATCGCTCCAGCCCATTTATGTATCTCACCTATTTATCTATCTTTATATTTACATTCTGATATCCACCTTGCATCAATTTTCTATCCATCCATTAATGTATCTATCATCACCTGTGCCTGAATTATACATGCATCCTTGTGTGTGTGTGTATAAACCTGGGTTTATATATATATATGTATATATATATGTGTGTATATATATATATAAACTGTCTGAAATACTTCTGTTTGTGCAGGCAGATACTGTGCTTGCTGTGAATGTGGATTGGAGTCACAGCATGAGAGATGGACGGGGAAGGAGAAGCACTAGAATCTGCAGCCTAGTCTCTGGGGAGACTAGGACATGATTTGGTTCATGTGTTGTGTTTTTGTTGGATTAGATCATTAGATATTAAATATGACCCAAGGCTTTGAAGCCAAATCAGTGTTAAGGGGAAATGTTTCATTTCCTACTATGCAAAGAATCACAAACTTCCTAAGAGAAAAGGGACATCCACCCTCAAAAGCATATCTCCACACAGTAAAATGCAGATGCGTTTCCTGCCTCAACTGCAATGAGAAGCTACACTTCCTCCTCCACCATCTTCCCCAGAATGGCGCTCACCAGGGTCTCAGCCTGAACCCTCACCTCAGCCCCAGTCTGACAGACTGCTTCACTTCGCCTAAGTAGGTTCCCGAAATAAACCCAGTCCTAGCCTGGCAACAGTTTTTCTTCATTTTAAATGAGCCTCATTTGTCCATAAGACTCATTTTTTAAGTTTGTGACTCATGGCAGACTCATTCCGTATTTTTGGCTTGATGACTACCTGGATTTTAACCCATTTAGGAAGTGGTTTTTCTGCCTAGCTCTGGAAGCTGAAGTAACTCCCCAGCCTCACCCAGCAGCTCACCATGCCCATTTTCTTTTATTCTGTGTCATCTTGCTTCCCATGGCATGCAAACACAGGCCCGGATACACACAGCATCACGAGCATATTGACAAGAAACTAGACAAGTAGCCGTTAAAAAGCTGGAAGTTTGAAGATTTGATTTCCTTTCTGTTATAATACAAATAAGTCATGATAAGGGATACTTTTCTGAAATACGGGAAAAGCTGCACTTTCCTTTCAATTCTGTGTCTTATGCATTTTTTTTCTTCCTGCAAAGATTTATCCTTCAAAGATTCTCTGTGTTTTTAAACCCCCCCCCCCAATTCCATTATCACTCATTATCCCAAAGCATTCACACTCTCATTCTTCTCCAGGAAAATGAAAGGAAATTGGCAAATGTGGGTCAAACTTCCTCAGAAAAAGCCTGGGTGCACTGAAGTGGCTACCGGCCATGGTGCCTGCCTCTGACCTGACAGGGCAGCCCCAGAGGTGATGGGTGATGGCATCCTGCGGTCAGCCTCCTGGGAGCTAGCTGCCTTGTCCTCCTGTCCAGTGCTTTGCTTCACAGGATGCCACGCCTAGTGGCCGCTGCTCCTCCCTGGTTTCCCTCTGCATCACAGCAGGCTCTCACTGTTATTTTGATAACAGGCCAGATTTTCATTTTAAACCTTGCTCTCTACAGACAATTTTAAACTGAACAGAAATAGCATTTATGGCCTGCAAAATACCTTTCTCCAGGGACATTTTGTTGTGCTTTGAGTACATTTTAACTCAGTGAGGTAACATTCAGGGACTCACCGAGAGCGGGATCGGGCGCAACTCCAGAGACATCCCATCCATCACCAAGACGCCAGGCAGGCTTCGCCCAGGCCACTCCAGACATAGGTAAATATCCTGTGTTCACAGGTCATCAGGAAAAGAGACTCCACACCACTCTGGGGTGACCCAGTTTTCCGCTGACTTCCCTTCAACACTGTCATTATACTTGGGTTACAGGGAAACACACCCTCGCCCTCACTGGGCTGCTGTGAGCTCCGAAAACCCAATGTTGTGCGTTTTAAAGCAGATGTCAGCAAGCAGCCGGATTGTCAGCACACTGTTTAACCAGCATGGAAAAACGCCACTTTCAAACCCAGTACCTCTGTTTTCTGGGGGCTGGAAACAACCCGAAAATTTTCACTTTGCCGTAAATGCACTGCAGTGACTGCATCAGTGTCCATCCATCGTCTCTTGAACGTCCTGTCAGTGCATGCGTGGCTCTGCAGGCTGACCTTTAAAAATTATAGCCACTCAATGCCTCCCTTGCAAAACGCGGTACCCAAAAGAAGAGAGAGAGAACAAGGGGGAATGCCCTGCCACAGAGGCAGGGTGGAAGGGGTGGGGGATGGGGAGTGGGAGGGATGTTGGGACCCGTGGTGGTGGAGGATGGGCACTGGTGGAGGGATGGGTACTTGATCATTGTATAACTGAAACCCAAGCACGAAAATTTATAAGTCTATAACTGTACCTCATGGTGTTTCACTAATAAAATAAATAAATAAAAATTTTTAAAAAATCATAAAGCTATTATATCCCTGTCCCAAACTGTGTTAACAGAACTGCTTCTAAAAAAAGCAGTGCCCCAAATCAAATTTGAAACTTGCAGAGAATTTTTTTTTCTCTCAAGGCAATGTGCTCTTTTCATGAGTCTGCACACACACACACACACACACACACACACACACACACACACACACACACACTTTTCAGGAAAAGGAGGCCCTTCCCCGGCTTTCCCCTTGTGCGGTGCAAACGCAGGAAACCCCCGCAGCCTCCAAGAGGTCCCGTTCCATTTTGGCACGGGCTAATCCACGGGGCTTTCTCCCGTTAGAAGCAAACCCAGCCAGCTCCCTTCCTTGCTGCTATTTCCCTTGGCACGGTGGAAAGTCATAAGGAATTGGACTGGTCCAGAGAGCCGGGGCAGGGGCTGGTAGGGACCTCAGACAAAATGAGGTTGGATGAGCTGAGCGCAGCATCCTTGTCTGAGCCAGAGCCGGAGGGTCTGAAATTGACACCATATGTGGGCAGAAGAGTAATTGCTCCAAGGGGGGCAGAAATGCAACATGTCAGAACATTTTAGTAACACCTAATTCATCCCGGGGTTATAAATAAAGCCGATGCTTGCTTCAAAACAAAAGTCGCAAAAGGACTTGGGACTAGATTACTTTTGTGACAGCCCTTCCGGCAGAGGTGAACTTTATTAGGGAGACAACATGACTAAAGAGAAACACAGAACGGCTTTTTATGGGATGTTTTACGTGATTTTATTTTTTTTGCAGTAAATACAGTGCTTATGGGGCTCCAAGGAAAAGAGCCCAGATGTTAGAGAGTTGTGCGAAATTTAGGAGAAACAAGCTGTAAAAAGTGCGGCCGTAAAGCAGCCTGTCAGTGCCACACATCTGGACAATACAGCTGTGTGCTCCTAGTGGCTGTCGTCACCCGAAGGAAACTCAATAACCTTATTTCACCCCAATTAGGCCGCATACCAACGGGACCGGCGTTATATTGCAAGGGGCGAGGAGCGACGTTCGTGTAGCATCTCAATGTCAAGCACCTTTTTTGGGGGGGAGGGGGGAGGTGTAACAATATATGGGTTTTTTTAATTTTTATTAGTGAAACACCATGAGGTACAGTTGTAGACTTACAAAATTTTTGTGCTTGGGTTTCAGTTAGACAACGGTGGAGAGTACCCGGTATCTCTCCACCAAGCACCTTTTAATCTTCCATTTGAATTTTGCCACCAAGGAGTAAAAGACTGCTAACACAACCCTTTCCATGACTCCAAAACCCGATTTAATTCATAGCGCCCTAAAACCAGGCAAAGTTGGACCATTTTTGCTGCTGGCCACGCTGAACAATAGACTTTCTATTGAAAAGAAGCGGGTCTGAGAAACTGAGGTGGCTGTGTTGGTGCAGTGGAGCTGGGCTTCGCCTGTCCCTCTGGGGTCGGGCACAGCACCAGCAGGGCAAGGAGAACGTCCCTCCTAATTTTCAGACAAACCCCACTTAAGTCGGAAAACAGGTGCCCCCTCTCTGGGGCATTAGCGCATCCTTCCCTGAACTGGGCAGTGAGGTCTCTCTGCAGAAGATAAGGATGGGCCAACAACAAGCCTGTTTCCACTGCTTCTGCCACTCGTGTGTGGCCTGTGCCAAGGCCTAGACCGGCCCTTCCCCTAACCAGTTTGCTTCTTTGCAGGTGCTCATGGCAGCGAAAGCAATCATGGACAATGGTGAGAAATTAACTTTGCCGCTGATAGGAAAACTCCTGAAATTCCAGCTTCTCCACATTAAGGCCAAGGACCAACAGCGACGGGAAAATGAAAAGAAGGTACCCGTAGGGGCGGATAGAGGAGTCACACCTCCCAGACCACCCGCCCATGAAAAAGGAGTTACCCTGTAGAGAAATAGAACAACTTGAAGGGCTTATGGTTAAGGTTTAGAACAATCGATATCAAAGAAGGAAACCTAGGAATTTGGGAAAAGTATGTCTTAAGGGGGATGGGGGGAGAGGAACCATCAAAGTTAGGTCTCCTTAAAATATTTTATATGATGTGAAACAGGAGTGTCTATTAAAATAATGGGCTACATCTGTACCTTCATCATATTCTGAGTTTTTCATCATCAATCCATCACGACTATGCCCACGCTATATGATTATTTTTTCACATGTAAATTTTTTTTATTTAATTTGCCTATGAAAATAATTGTGTGCTTTCCAAAGCTTCATTTTTCTTCTGAAAAAAAATTTTGAATACTGTGAGCAAAGTGATTCCATGTTCAAATCCATTTGCTTTTCTGTATCATGCCAAAATATTTTTGAAAGCTGAATGTTTGTTTGTGCGTGTGTTTTGTGTTAATATATGTGTATATGAAATGAATTTAGATGTAACTTTTTTATGTCCCATAGTGAAAATGGCAAATCAATTAATGGAAGAAGGAAGAGAAAAAAAATCCTCTTAGTAACGTCTTCACCTTTATGACTCCCCAGTCCTGGTTACCTAATGAATTGTACTCTTAATAAGAAAATTATAGACAAAAAAAAAAGAAATTAAGTCACCTTGTAATTGTTATGATAAGGCTTTGCACTTTTCAAAGAGTTTTTCTGTATAGCATCTTATTAGGGTGATGTCTATTGTCCCCAGGAAAATTCTTTTAATATGAACTCAGTTGATCATATAGTTTTCCGTCTATTGGAGCTCTTTCCATCTTATACAGGAGATTTGTACCTTAAGGAAATGCACAGAGAAGTTGAGACTTGGCAGAAGAAAAATTTGAAAACTGGTATAGAGATATATTTTCTTGCGTGTTTAAATTCCAGTGTCATATGAGAATCTGAATTATAAAAAGTCATGTGTGAAAATTTCTGTGACTTCTGCTTGTTTTAGACTTTCCCACGGCACTTACAAATACTCCTGCAGAGGTAAAGGATGTCGATTAATTGTTTGCCATCGATATAAAGTCAGAAACTGTTTGTAATAGGAGTAAGTTTTAGATTTCAGTGAACAAATTTTAAGTAGCAATAACGAATGTTCTGGCTTCTCAGGCAAATAGGTTAGTGGCTATCGGTGGCATAAAAATATTTCTGTGTTGCTTTTTTTTTTGCTCTGCATGTTTTTGAAATGTGAATTTAATAACATAATCTTAGAATAATATGAGGTATGAAAATAATCTTTGATCCATTTATTAAAAATTCAAATGTTTTAAGAAATGAGGGCTTAGATTTTTTATTCATGTTTTAAAAGAGTAACCTATGTGTAAATGAACACTTCAAGCAATAGAGAAAAACATCATATAATCCGGTGTGATGTCTTTGTTAGACTGACTCTAAAGCACTAACCACACATCTGTGAGTGTGCTCCATAAACTGATGAAAGCTGAATGTTTCAGACCAACGATCTCCAGGAAATGACCTCGGTAAAGATAAGATTAGGGAGTTGCTTGGATTATAATCTATGTTCCTTTAATTCAGCCTAATAGGCCAGGTGGAACTACCAGTGTTAGTAATGTTTGTCATGGGCCAAAGAGATAGGAAGACCATTACCTTGCATATCCCTGACCCAGGTTGAATCCCTGCCACCCCATCTGGTTCACCAGGAGCTCTCCCTGAGCGAAGAGCCAAGAATGAGCCCTGAGCACTGCTAGCTGTGAAAAATAAATAAATAATGCTTGTCAGCCAGAGAATTTGGCAGACAGCAAACTATACAAGTATATAAGACTGATGCCAAGCCCGCTATGGATTAGAAAGGAAAAAAAAAGGAAAAGACGACTCTTTCTTGCACCCATGATGAAATTCTGATATTTCTTCTTTTTTCCTGGTTTGTGGGTACACCTGGTGGTACTCAGGGCTTACTCTTGGCTCTGTGATTAGAGATCACTGCTGGCAGTGCTCAAGGGAACATATGAGGTGCTCACAAGACAAGTGTCCTATCTGCTGTTCTATTTTGCTCTGGCCCCTCAATTCTGAGATTTCTACAAAAGGTGTCACTGACTGTCTCTTCAGCTTTGTAAGCATCAGTCTATAATCTATATAGCAAATGTTAGTGTTGCTCACCACCGTACAATATAAAGAGAGATTTGTGTCTTCTGTGTTGAAGTTTTGGGATTAGGCATGTTTTGATGAATACTTAAAATTATCCAGAGATAAACATCCACAAATCTCCACTAGGGAGAAGTGAACAAAATTAACGAGCTTAACTAGGACTGAAAGTAACAGCTTTGCTAGAAAATAAATAGTGGAACTGGGAAGCTAGATCTAAGGAAACGGGGGCCCTGGGCACATCATCCCTGACACCACATCATTTCCCGAGTGCTCCTGCAAAAACGCCATCTTTCCAGATTCCATTCATTTAATTACTCATTCCACTTTGGACTCTCCTTAAGGATTTCTTTGGTAAATTTTTGGCTACTTTAAATTATTTTTAAATTATTTTGGCTACTTTAAATTATTTTTAAAAATACAAGGGAAGTTATTTCTTAGAAGATCAGTTTGTTTTGAAATCTCTGTGAACTTCTATCAATTATATTAGAATTATATGGACTATATTAGAATTATATTAAACATGTCGATGCCTGTCTCTAATTGTAAATAAACTGTGTATATTTTAAAAGATTACCTATTTTTTTTAAAAAAAACTTATTGTCTGCTTCTAAATATGTATATCATGAACAAAATACTGTATTTCTATAACTATAATTTAACACTTCAGCACTTCGGTATAAAATCCTTTAGTAAATTAATTCCAAATTAGATTCTATTATATTCTAAAATTTGTAAAGTGTTTTGTTTAGAAATTTCCCCATATACGTATCAAACATTTATTCTGCACTTGATGTTTTATCACTACCAATTAAGTTAATTCATTAACTGAAACAGAGAAACAATAGATGGGTTGTATATTTGTGTTATATTTGTTGTATTTTTAACATAAATTGCCCTGGTGTCTATTCTGATCCATGTTTTTAATCTAGTCAGCTGAATATTTTAGTTTATTTACAGTTTGAACTTTGGCTTGTCTCTATGCATTAGTTATAAACTTATTTAAAATGAAAACATTGAATTTCAGTCGAAACATATAAAATGTATTGAGAATTCAACTAAAAGAAAATATATCATAGAAAAGATGAAAATACATATAATACCAAAAAAAGTTAACTTTTTACAGCCAGCCTCGCTACATTTAGACATCTATACTTTGAGCAAGTCTTAGCAAAGACCCTAATATCTTTTAACAGTGCTTTTCACTTTAATTTTTTAATTCAACTAACCAGTCTGTATTTTCTCCGAGATTTTTAGCATCCCTTTTACATTAGAGCAGTACAATCCTTTCTCTTTACAGCTTATATACTTAATACAAATTGATTTCTTTTCCAATGCACCGAAAGAAAAGAGAAAGAAGATATGCAGGGATGAACTATGGAGAGGTGGTATTAAACAAGTTAATATGAAAAGAGCCTGAGTTTGATAATTCATAACGAGGAAGAGACAAAACCACACAGAGCTTGCTCCTGAGGAGGGAGGAAGAGAAATTAGGGTAGCCTTCACAGACCTTCTCTCCAGCTCACTCCAGATGAAACCCTGAAACCCTGGAAGCCAGCCAATGTAATGTCGTTTTGTGTGTGTTTTGTTTTAAAATGAAATGCCATAGGGGCATACCAGGAAATTATAGGCTGGTTAGTTTTGATTCAGTTGTGGTTAAAATCTTCAGAAACTATTGAAGGGAATCAAAAAGAGGAAGAGCAGGGACTCGGTTAAGAGAGGGACTGTGTGGTTTCAGGAAAGCAGTAACTCGCCTCACTAACTGGATGGAATTCTTTGAGGCTGGATTATCGAAGCGAGGATCCTCTGAACAAGACCGCTGGATCTAGAGCTCGACAAGGTCCAGCAATTCAGAGTAAATAATCAGTGATTCCTTGGCTGACTTACCCGTAGAAAAGAATACCGCTTTCTTAGTTGGGCAGCCTTCTCTTGTCCAGTGGGATTTTTTAATTGCTTTATTACCAATGACAGTAACGGCATCTGTGTCTTTAAGTGTATCAGTGCCTAGACTAATTAATTTTAATTTGAGATCCTTATCACTATCCGGCAGCCAAAGACTTCCAGAACCAGCCCCCACCATGCTGAGACCACTCTCTGCACACATGAAGGTACTGGCAGGGGAACAAAGGCACGTGGGTCCCGAGGCTGAGATCTCCAAGCCTACTCAGATCGGGGCTGAGCATCCTCCACCCAGATCCTCCAAATTCCAGTAGGCGGGGGTCACACCCACCAACTGGCACCCTGGCGCCGTGTAATCCCATCAACGGCCAAGACTCAGAGACTATAGAACCCAGCTCCTGGAAGCACGCGGCCGCATTTGTGGCCGCGCGACAACTTATCATCTCATTCCTACTTTGGACAAACTGGCAAGCTACCGAATGTAACTTGCCCGCACGGCAGAGTCTGGCAAACTCCCCATGGCATACCCAATATGCCAAATACCAGTAACAATGAAGGGTCTCATTCTCCTAACTCTGAAAAGAGCCTTGAATATGGCACTTTTTTAAAAATCTCAGGGCTAGGACGAAGGAGACATTACTGGGACCTGCTCGAGGCAATCGACGAATAACAGGATGGTCGTGATCGTGATCACTATCCCTGTCCTCAGCTAGCCAAAGTTTTTCATTTGTTTATTTCATTAGGTCCTTACTAATGCCTTTTTATCAGTCGAGAGCAGGATGTCCACGTTGCTATACGGCCCTGCCCCCACCATCAGATCCAATGATGTATTTCATTCCATCAAGCAAAAACTGGTTCCCTTCCCATTTCAGGAAATATCCCTTTACATGTGC